AATCCCACTACGTGGGGTCAGCTACATGAATCTTTTTTCTCCATTGCATCCTATTTAGTGATATATTTTCATTTAGCTCTTGTAAATTAAAATCATTTTTTATACATTAAGCCCAAGTCTTCCTAGGTCTACCTCTGCCCTTCTTAACATAAGTTGAATCTAAAACATCTAATCTCCTAAACGGATCATCAGATGGTCAACGTTTTTAAACGTGACCAAACCATCTAAGACGACTTTCTCTAATTTTGTCCATCACAGGAGCTACACCAACCCTATCACGAATATATTCATTTCGCATTTTGTCTCTAAGTGTAAAGTCACTCATCCACCTAAACACTTATTATTATGTTTCTCTTTTAAAGGCCAACATTCAGCGCCATAGAGCATTGCAGGTCTCACCACCATCTTATAAAATTTTCCTTCAGTCTAAGCGGTACTTTTCTATCACACAAAAGGCCCGAAGCATTCCTCCACTTCAACCAACCAACTTGAATTCTACTATTAAGATCCCCATATATATTACCATCACTTTGAACAACAAACCCAAGATATCTAAATTGTTCACACCTTTTAATAATTTAATCACCCAAAGTCACACTTCTGTCAGTAGAGCTACTACTACTAAAATTACATTCCATGTATTCAATTTTAGTTCTACTTAAATGAAGGCCTTTAAACTCCAATGTAGACCTCCATGTTTTAAACTCCAATGTAGACCTCCATAATTCAAGTTTTTCCTGGGTGTTTTCTCTCTTTTTATCCACAAGAAGGATATAATGAGCAAAAAGCATATACCAAGGTACATTCTCTTGTAGATGTTCAGTAAGACCATCCATAACTAAAGCAAAAAGATATGGGCTTAAAGCCGATTCATAAAAAAATATTTGATCAATCCTCCTTCAGTTCGAACACAAATAACAGCTCTAGTATACATATCCTTAATGACCTGAATATGAATCATATCAACACCTTTCTTCTCAAGAACTCTCCAAAGGATATCTATTAGAATCTTATCGTAAGCTTTTTCTAAATCAATAAAAATCAAATGTAGATTCTCCTTATTATCTCTGAACTTCTCCATCAAACCTCTCAATAAATGTATAGCTTCCATAGTAGACCTGCCCGGCATAAATCCAAATTGATTATGAGAAATCTTTGTAATACATCTTAACCTATGGTCAATTACCCTCTCCCAAAACTTTAAAGTATGACGCATCAATTTAATTCCTCTATAAATTGCACACTCTAGTGCACCCCCTTTATTCTTAAAAATGGGGACCAAAATACTCTTCCTCCACTCCTCGGGCATCTTTTTAGTTTTTAAAATAATATTAAATAGTTTAGTAAGCCAAGAAACTCCCAAGTCTCCTAAATATTTTCACACTTCAATTGGGATTTTATCAGATCCTAAAAACTTTCCACCCTTGGTTTTTTATTAAAGCCTCCTCAACTTTTTTTTTAGTAATGCGACGGTAAAAAAGAAACCATGCCTGAGGAGTAACCATGACATTATTATCAACAAAGAACTTTCCTTGAAAAAATAGATTAAAATATATTATGTCATCATAGTTCAAATCATCATTTTATTTTTACTTTAAAAACCTATTTCATTCTTTCTTTATAGAATAGTTTTTCAATGTAAAGTCTATCGACTTGCCATACAATAAAGAGATACATTTAAAACAAAGCATTATAAAGCCATCAAACATTATTTTATTGTGCATAGCGATATATAGCGCCCATCCGTATCTAAAAACCATCACTCCATATGATATTTTAATATTTTTCTTGATTGTCTTACTTATGTATTGGTTATACTTATTAAAGCTAAACATGATGCAAAACAAACTTTTCAAAAACTTCCACACTATGATTAAAACCCATATGCGCCACCCCTACTAGAAGTAAATGGATCTTCTCAATTAATTATCAATCTGATAAATCCATTGAATGATATAAAGCATGACTGATTGCAAAAGAATTTACTACAACTTATGTGATTGATTATTCTAAAATATTTGCTCCAATAATTAAACTAAAGAATATTTGAGTCCTCCCAATGTCAGACATGCTAGATTAATCACTTCACTAATTAAAAATTAAGAATGCACTTCTGAAAGGTGACTTGAATAAAAAAGTATGGATTATCCTCTAGAAATCAATGACCATGGAAGGATGAGAAATGTGGCATACAAATTAAGAAAAATCTATTTGCAAGCTCAAAGATTCATTTGAAAAGTTCACCAGAGCTATAGCAATTTAAACACACTTAAATCACATTTTATTCTACAAACAAAAGGATGGTAAGCCTACCATAAAAATCTATGATAATTTTTTATGTTGATGATATCATCATTTTAAAATAAGTAACTTGAAGTAAAAACATACAAAAGAGTCTGAAATTAAAGATCTTGGTTCACTAAGGTGTTTTTTGGGAATGAAAATAACTTGAAAAAGAAATTAGTTTAACAGGAAGTAAACTTATATGTTACACTCTAACAAATCCCAATAAATTGATAGATCATGGCACTAAATATCCAATGGATAAAGAAAATATCAAAGGCTAGTAAAAAACCCCCTCTACATGGCTCATATAAGAACATGACATTGCAGATAAGTTATTTTGTGCACACCCCTTAGAATATTTGAATGCAATTAAAAGAATAGTCAGGCACTCAAAGAACACCAATAGGGAGTTATTCTACAAGAAAGGGGAATCCAAAATTATAGAGGTATATATTGATAATGATTGGGCTAGCTCTTGAGTTGACAAAAGAACTACATCAAAGTATTGCAACTTTGTGCAGGAAAATCTTGTAACTAGAGCTTTAAAAATAATTAGTATGACAGAGATTAGAAAAAAAAATGGATCCTTGGCCAATGTGATTAGTAAATTAATCAGATTTGAGATGCTCTTAAAAGAAGGAACTTCAGAGAATTTTCAAAACTTGGCAATAAGATCGCCTCCAACATCATCCAAAACAATGACCATCAAGACCAAAAAAAGTGGAGGTATATCAATAATTTGTTAAAGCAAATTTCAAAATGAATATCTATGTGGCTTTATATTAACTCTTTTGATCAAACTATTGACATCTGGATTAACGGATTGGCAAAACCCCCATTTGAAAAACTATTTGACAAGCTTAGTTCACATGATGTTTACAAACCAGCTTAGGGTAAGTGTTGAAACAAGTGTTGTTGCCTCTACCATAAAGAAAATAATAAAGATTTTTTTTACCAATTATTATATTTAGAGCAAACCCAAACAAAAAAATACTGCAAACATGTGCTTGGAGAGCAGGCAAACCTTCCTACATATAAATTCCTTCAAGAAGGGGAAAGAAATTTTTCTCCCAAAATCGAAATCCTGTTGGTTGGAGTTCGGACAACATGTGGACATCCCTCCCTACATGGTATATCTCATATAGTCCTTTCCCCCCTTCCACCTTGTTATTTTGAGCTTGTTAAGAAGGTTACTGATATGGTTCTCATTACTGGCTAGTTTCTAGATATTTTATTTATTATATTTAATAGTAGCTAAATCAAAAATATATTGTACTAATTAGATTGCCTTTATTTATTAGTAGTTAAACAAAAAATGTATTGTACTAATTAGATTTTCTTTATGACTAGGATATGCTTGTTTCTTTCTTATTCTATATCTTCGTAAATCTCTATTTATAAGATCAGATTTTTGCCGATACAATACATGGAGTATCCCACCACTCATTCTCTCAAATTCTATCCTACTACTTATTTTCACTTCTTATGATTAAGAATGACAAAAATTCCAAATCAATTGGTTAAACTCCATTAAGTTTTCAGCCTCTATCTTCTCCTTCTCCAATAACTATCATAGAGGAAGTTTATGCGGTTCTGTAGTATATTTATTTGTGTTATGTGTCATTTAAGCAAATTCAAAACCGAGCAAATACATCATTGTGTGATTTTTCTCTCTATAAATCTATAACACGCATTGGGCTAGTCACTTTTATAGTGGTAATTAAAATAATTGTATTTTCTCACCCATTTTACATCATTCTCACCACTCTAGTTTTTCAAACTTCATTCCGGACATCATTTCCAAGCATTTCTATCAGCACCCACTATGGAGGTACCATCAGAGGAAGTTTATATGGTTCTGTAGTATATTTATTTGTGTTATGTGTCATTTAAGCAAATTCAAAACCGAGCAAATACATCATTGTGTGATTTTTCTCTCTATAAATCTATAACACGCATTGGGCTAGTCACTTTTATAGTGGTAATTAAAATAATTGTATTTTCTCACCCATTTTACATCATTCTCACCACTCTAGTTTTTCAAACTTCATTCCGGACATCATTTCCAAGCATTTCTATCAGCACCCACTATGGAGGTACCATTAGACCTTTTAATGACCAAATTGTATGTCATCTTGGGAAAGAGGAATATGACTTAGACCAACAGGCTATTGGCACTTATCAAGAAGATTGGTTTCAAGCCCAAAATTGGTTCACGGAGTATTATGTGCAAGATGATCAAGTAGAATTATATGAAAGAGCGTTCATATGGAATGTTCCTCTAATTTTACAGTTCTCTGTGAGCAGAGAGATTTGTCATTGGAAATGGTGCGCTCCTCCAAACTTGTAAAACCATCACCTTCCTAGCTTTAGGATCTATTTTAATTTGTCATTGGAAAAACCATCACCTTCCTAGCTTTAGGATCTATTTTACTTTATAATAGAAAAATCACCACACTTTCATAAATCTTTGCCATCATTAGCCTGGACTCTAATTAGTAACATTTATGAGTATCGACTTCTTATTTATTACTCTATATTATTTACCTGGGCTAGCATTTCATAATAAAAAAATTAATCAATAATCATGCCGGTGCTTACAATTAAAATTAGCATTTTCTCTGTCAGCTTTTTGAGATCTTTTCATATAAAAATAGACTCAGAATTATTGTAGAAAAAAAAAAGTTTAAATCAAATAAATACCATGAGCATACCTTGATCTGTCATTGTTATAGTTAACCTGTAGCTCACTAAGGCTGAAATGAGAAAGTTAATTTAAATTAGTCATAAAAACAACAGCAAAATAATAAATATATCAAAAGATTTGGAAGGAGCATACTTGGAATATTGTATATCTAATTGACAGCAGCCATCATATATATTGCGTCCCTGCAGAGTTGCATTCAGAATATAGCATCAACTCTCTCAATTGAAAACTGACATCACGCAGAACTTGAAAGAATAAGAAAGACGCGCATACTTGCAGAGTGTCTCTCGCTTGAATAGCACAATGAACTGACTGATACTGAATAAGAGCTTGAAATCCTACATAAATAAGCAAAGAAAAATAATAGAAACCTAATGAGTACTTTTCATATATAGCTTGACAAAATCTCAGCGAAAAAAAATGGAAAGTACAATCAATATGAAAACGTATAAAAAAGATATAAATTACTATTTACAAAAATTTACACCTTACAAGGTCAGTAAAACATGAAGGAAATAAATAAACTAGCAATTTTAATCCATGTTGGAGTTCCTATTGAAGTTCATCGTTGCTAAAAATCATTTAAGAGAATAAAGAATACTTGAAGAAGCTGACCAGCTGACTTCTGAAATGTGACGATCTTCTCCACAAAACCATGAGGAGAAAAAACTTGATGCAGAACTTCCACTGTTATAGGGTAGAGCATGTGATGTATTGTAGTTAAGAGGATTCGATTGGGATCCAAATCCTGATTGCCAGACAGCATACCATAATAGAGACAAGAGGAAAAAAAATAAATAGAAGAAAAAGAGAAGACTAATAAGAATGAGAATAGCTAGAGAAGAGATGCTAAAATCTTCAGTTAGACATGGATGAAAAACTAGAGAAATAAGACCACATTCTAATTTTTTATTAACTATCATTAGCTGTGACCTCTACGAGCCACTCACTATAAAATCTATATTCACAGTGCCAAAGTCACCTTAATTTTCAATACTAAACAGGGTCACCTCAAATGGAAAAGGTAGCATAACACTTTAAATTCAAGATGAAACATGAATAAGGAGATTCAAAAATATACGTGCTTCAAATTTTCTATTTCCCCCTTTCCCTCCAACACACATAACTACAGTCTCCATAACCCCCAACACTTCCACAGCCGCATACCCCAATTTCTCTTATTTGATTTTCCTTTTTTCCCCAACCTAGATAGCACCCACTCACTCATTTTCAAAGCCTCTTTCACAAAATAATACTTATTTAGTTTATGTATTTCAAATATTTACAACAACAGTTTAAAAAATGGAGGCCTTTGTAGAGCCTACATTTTATGACTCATCCACTTGCATTAATAAATATCAAATATATTTGCATATTTTACAATGTTCGTATAAATCTCACACAACATTTATATAGCTTTAAAATTTTAAAAATCTAAAGAAAGTTAAAAAATGACTGCCATTCATTGCAGTGGCTACTTTATATAACTCATCCCTTTACATTAAGAAATATCATATAGATTCGCATTTTTTATTATGTTCATATGTACCGCACACATTAGTATAAATTATAAACAACTCACCATTTTCTGGAAGGTCCAACAGAATATAGGCAGTTCATTCCAAAGTAGAGACAAATAACACAGCCATATGTCAAATTAACAGACAATAAGAGACAACAACCAGCCTTTTTTGAGCTTTACTAAAGCAAACATTAAAATTTTATGGAACATCTGCCAATTAGCAAGGAAAATCTCAGTTGAATGGTATACTAGATCATAAGGGTGCGATTCACTTCATTAAAAATTTGTTTCCTCCAGAAAAACTAGATAAGATGGATGATGTATACCTAGACAGACAAAAAAATATAAAACGTATGGGGCATTTGCATAGTGCCGCAACAAGCATGATTATGAATCGTCATATTTCACGCTATAAACTCCAGCTGACCAACAAACTATTTAACTGGTTCTGTCCACCAGTCAGAAAATCAATCTAGTTGTTGGTCCAAAAAACTCAACCATAGGACTAGCACACAAACTCCAAACCCCAACTAAAAGATGGATCAGAATTTGATAGAATTACATGGAGGGCTTGAAGTAGAAAGTGACTGAATGTGCGCTAGCTAGGGTATGCTTCGGACTTATCAATCACAAAGAAAATCAATTCCCTGAGAGGAAGTGAATTAACTTTGGCCTAGTTGAAAAAATTTAAAATATAGAATAAAAAAAAAACTTTGGCCTAGTTGAAATGAAGTCACATGATGATTGGTAGCTTCACCTTTTCTGAAAAAGTTTTCACACGATGCACTTCCAATTTAACAAACAAAACTGCAAAATCACTTCTATGTAGACTACCATATTCTTTTCTTAAAAGCAAGTTTCTCATTTTCAACTTCCTTTTAGTTTTAAACAATACATTTCAACATAGGACACAAAAAAATTTTATAAGGTTTTCTTGGGTAGCAAAAAGTTCAAAAACATGGTAAAGTACAAATGGAAAATGATGCAACATGGATAAGCAAGCTCCACACAATGCAATCTAAAAATAAAATTAAAAAACATATTCTTATAGCTTGCACAGTATATAAGCTAAATAAATACTCGGTGCAAACCTGATCTTTTCGTCCTTGTGAACCTTGATCAACAGTTGTTAGTTCCTGATGAGAAGAAAACTGCATATAAACATTTCTTCCCCTGAAAAGACAAACTGAGACAAGTTAATAACAATATCCCACAGAAATAGCTTTGGCAATCATATGCTTAACAGTCCAGTTATTTAAAACGTACATTCTTGAAACTAAAAAAAAATCAACATCTGAATTTGAATATTGTAAGTAATCATACTTAAGGTTAAACTTGAGATAATTTAAATCTTTTCTTTTCTCTTGCAAGGGTTCAAGCAATCGAATTTTTTATCTACCCATTTTTCTTTATATTCTTTTCACATTGATTTTATATATCTTCTTTATTAGAGCATCTTCTACTATAAATTTTCGAACCCAAATCACCTAAAGCAATTTTCTACATCCATCTCTGCAGAGCCATGCCCCTACACGTTCTGATATGATTGAATTGCATTCTATCCATCTAACCAAGTAAAATATCCATCTTAGCATTATCATGTTTTCCACAATTAACTAAATCAATAAAGACATTGTTGTATAACACTCATTCCATAAAACATACTGTTCCTATCGATGTTCTGTAATTTTTATCCTTTTGATAATCTATTGAGTGCCTTAAAAGTATTATGCAATAAAATTATATCATCAAGGCAAAAAAAATAAATATTATAAAATTAGGCAACAAAAAAGTTGTTGATAGCTGAGTTGAGTGAAGAGAAAATGAATGCTAAGCTAAATATGTGGCAAAAAAAGATAAGTGGTGATTATCTTGACAGAATAGTTGGAGTCACATCTATCAAAAATGAAGTTGAAAATAAACTCAAGTTTGGAAATGTAAAATGAAGAGTAGAAAAAGGGACCCATCAGGCAGGTGAATAAATAAGTAGAAAAAGATTAAGATGGAAAAGCAGTATGCAAATAGAAGTTGTACAAAATGATTTGCAAGAATAAGTAACACTTAAAACAACCCTCAACAAAAATGAATGAAAAATAAAAGCTCATAAACCAACCCGAAATGAAAACAAATCTATTGATGATATTCTTTTAACATAAACTATCCAAATCAAGTCTCCATTTTGACAACCCATAAATGATTCTGCTAGTTTTATCCACATTATTTAGCATAAAAACCAATGATACTAAAATCAGGTGGACCCAGGTATCAATTAAACCTTAATTCGGTTGAAAAATCATTATTTTCATATCACGACAACTTATGTATTATATGTGTTCTATTTATAACAAAAAAATATCTTCCAAGTTTCATTTCCACCAGGCAAACAATAAAACAAATAATGGCACGTGCAAATTTTTATTAAAAGCAAGTAATATGAGCATAAAACTAAACAAATACATTTACTGATTGATAAAGATACACGACAAACTGCATAACTTTTAAAAAGAAGGCCTCAAGCCTCTTATCTTCGGGAACACATCCAAATGAATTCACCTGCAATTCTTCTTCTAATTAATGCAATTTACTAGATCAAAGAGATCTCTACAATGGAATTGATGTAAGATAAAAATATAAAATATCAACCATAAACCAACTCAAATAAAAATACGAGTAGTACAACAACAAGAAGAAGTTTTTATCCCACTAAGTGGGGTCTGCTACATGAATCATTTTTCTCCATTGCGTCCTATTAAGTGTCATAATTTCATTTAATTCTAATATATTATGATCATTTTTTATATAATATGCCTACATCATTTTAGGTCTATCTATGCCTTTCTTAACATCAGTCGAATCTAAAACATTTACTCCCCTAATGTCACCAAACCATCTAAGACGAATCTCTCTAATCAAGTCCTCCGTTGGAGCTCACGGATATATTCAATTCGCATTTTGTCTCTAAGTGCCAAGCCACCCATCCCCCTAAGCATTCTCATCTCAGTAAAACTTAAACTTTGATTTATTCTTTTCTTTTAAAAGCCAACATTTTGTGCCATAGAGCATTGAAGGTATCACTGTCTTATAAATTTTCCTTTCAATCTAAGCCATACTTTTCTATCACACAATAGGCCCAATGCATTTCTCCACTTCAACCAACCAACTTTAATCCTACTTTGGCAATTTGATAGTTAGCGCATCTTATCTGATGTCATCTATTAGGAGTTCGACTATTCGTTCCACGAACAACATCACATAACAATGTCATAAAAATCATTCAAATCATATTTTGATCACATAAAGCCGGCTAATGGCAATGATAATTAAAATATCAAAATCATTGAAGATCTCATTAAATAACATAAAAATGTAAAGATGGGATTAACACAAAGATAACACCATTATTTGGAAAATATGTTTGTTCAGATAACATTGTTATATGAATAGCAATAAGCCAAATAGCTCCTAGTATTAAGAGTTGCATTGCCTGAGAAAAATTTGAATAGGTAACATAAGCATGTGTAAATATATGTTCTCATATGACAATGTTAATCAATTTTAAAAAGAATTAATTTATACATTAGTAGCAACAACAGTACTAGCAACAACTACAAAAACAACAACAACAGCAATAATGATACTATCAAAAATAATAGTGACAAATAAAAAGGTCACTGTTGACACATGTATAGGCTGCATAAAGATCATGTAAGTAAATAGTCTGACTGAGACTCATTTTTTTTTCCCTAACATCAACATTTTTTTGTGGACATCTTTAGATAAATCTAATCAAAGATGTCTCAAAACTGATCACAAAGTTTTGTTGAATATACTACCTAAAGTAATGATTCAGTGAGGAAAACAATGTATAAGTGGATAAAAATAAATTATACTAACTCATGGGTAAAGCTACACTGTAGTTATGAAAACAGGGATTGAGATGACAGAGAAGACTGTTTATGTAAAATAAAATCTTGCTTTCTTGAGTCCCAGAAACGAGTCAAATGAAGTTTTTGAACAATTTATCCAAGCATAAAATCACATTGTCCTTTTATGTAGATATCTTTGTTGCTCTCAAACTGAAACCATAAAATATATCATAATCAAGTCACATAGTTTCTGTAGATTGAGATGACAGAAAACAATGGTTATGTAAATACTTACTTTTTATGTCCCAGGGGTATTTGAACAACTCATCCCCCTTTTATGTAGATACATATGTTGTTAAAAAACTTAAACCATAAATGATGCTAAAGCCAAGTCATTATTAATAAACATAAGAAATAAATAAAATATATAACTTGGTAGATAACACACAATAAAAGGATTGAATAAAATGGCCCACGCTTGTACCAACCAAAGTGTAGATTGCCACAAGATATAAGACTAAAAAAAAATAAGTGGATCAAAAAATTAGTAAAAGCTATAATTTATTTCTAAACTTCTTTGGGTTGTTAAGAAACACGGGCATCGAAGCCCAAACTACTCAGCAAAGCTATCTTGGTTAGATAGAAATAAATTTATCTGAATAAACCTGCAAAAAAAAATCATCTATCATAGACATCTATCATAGGAAAACATAAAACTATAAGACTATAAGAAGCTAGTGCTAATAAACAGCATAGAAAAAAATTAAAGCTTAGAAAAAGTATAACAAAGCAGAATGAAGCAAATTCAAAATTCTCCCCCTTCAATGTGCAATGCAACACTAACATTGTTTCTCATGCAATGAAAACAGCATATAAATGTTGGTTAAAGCAAAAGGGTAAATATGAGTAAAACATATGAATCCTCCACTACAAACATATTAAAGAGTTCAACAAAACTTTGTAATCGGACAAAATACACTATTTTCTTATGAAAAAAAACCATCTCTGCCCTACAGAAGTCAGTAACAAGAAGTTTTACCTGAGCTAGCTATGCCTCCAGCAAAGTCAACAACAAGAAAACACAAGATATAATGTTTATGTAGCCTTCTCAAGCTCATGCATTCTAAATTTCAAGAATGCCGCCACTTTAATGTGGATTTAACTCTGGTTTCTAACTCATTATGATATACAAATTAAGGCACGCCTGAGATGATACTTTATGGTATTAGCTCATAATTTTTCTTGCACTTTTCAATATCACACATGACAATTACCAATAGAATACAGATATTTTAAGCATGTATTCTCATGAATGTTCCCACATTTTTTAAAAAGAACGGTGAACCTCAACATGATGTTCAACAGGTGCCTTATAGAGAACAAACTATTGAGCTTAGTATTTTAAAATTTTCTTGCAACAATTTTATTTACGTTTGGTAGGCTACGCAAAATATACCTATTAAAATTTCATCATGCGATCACCTGACTACAATAGAACTATTTGATCACCAGAAGCTAGCCCTTTGACTGTTCATACAAAAGTTTGTGCACAATATGATGTGCATATTACAAGCCAGCTTCTACTTCAATAGAGGATACACAGTTTCTCAATCTAGCTTTCACGTGTTTTACATAATGTGCATGGATAATTTCTTTTTTATGGAAGAATAACCATCACCTGACTAGCCCAATAAGACCCACTCAGAATCTAATATGAATTTTGATTGTTTGTGTACGTGAATTTTGTACTGAAACTAATTTTGCATGCATGCTTGTTTGATAGATGCGAAGGTTCTCTGAGTAAGTAATGGTGTCAAAACCAACGAAATTATTCTCTGTGCGATTAAAAATATGATCTAGGATTGTACATCCAACGAAAAATCAATCGTATGATTTTGTACCCAGTTTACAATATGATCCAATGATAAAGACTTATATGATGCAATCATGAAGTGAGTAATTGTTATCCGTTTAACAAACAATTTCGTAAAGGTGTTACTGGCTCAAGATAGCATTCTATGAATTATTTGTCATAATAAAGAAGCATTGTATTGATATAGGTATACGTTACTTGTGTAGCGTGAACTTTGTCTAAAAGATGAAAAAGTGATAAACAGCCTAAATGACCTTCCCCATCTCCGCTAAGCAATACTGTTTCATTTCTTTCCTTCACCAATCATTGGAGGAAAAGTGAGGAGAGAAGAAGCTCAAATGTGAGGGCTTTCAGTCTTTAATGTTTAACTCCCATGTAGGGCCAAAACAAGAAGTTGATGTATTCAAGGTAGAAAGTCATTCTCCCATTTTAAATTTAAATAAATGTTGTATCTAGCGTGATTTCTTGTAGCATTTCTCATACGAATATTGTTTTTTGTATATATTAAATTTTGCAAGATATTTTATAGTTAAATTTGTGATGTATTGCTATCTATGCATTATTAGAACACATAGAACTAGATTTTGAGATATCCGCCATATGTTTGTTTAATATACTTTCCAAAGTCTTTGTAAATAAGCATACTATGAACCCGTCATTCCAAAAAGGAAACCAAAATAATAAAAAACATGGGTAAACCTCTAGCAAAAGGCAAACCTAAGTTATCCCCATGTAAGAGAAGTTTCAAGGGAGAGGGAAGAACACGATCAATGACAGCACAATTGGTAGCGGCTCCCCACTTAACAAGCCAATCAACAGCCCTAGTTCCTTCCTTGTAGATATGAATCCAAATCACCTGTGTATGCTTGATCAGCTCAGCAATTCTGTCCACTAAGATTGTGAGGAGCCAAAATGTGTTAGTGTTACCCTTAAGGATCTCCACTGGGTGTAAAGAATCTAGCTCACAGTTAATAAACCTCTACTTCAGAGTGACAACAATCTTAACTACAACAAAAAACAACCCATACAACAGTCTCCAAATCTCCCTCGGCAACACAAGGAGAATGAAAGTAGCGGAGACAGTTTCCTGTATAGTTTCTAAAGACTCCATCAGCACCAGAAGCAGTAAGACTCCAGCTCCCATCAGTGTTGATATTGATCCAAAAGGCTCTTTGGTTGCTTCCATACTACCAATTGCACCTTCCTCTTGTTATATGTTTTGATTGGATTCTGTAACTTCTCAAAAAAATGCTCAAGGGAAGAGGCTATTCTTAACATTACCATAAACAGCAACCTTAGTAATAAAAACTAAAATGTTATGCAGCACCACATCAGTCGCCATATGAATGTTTTCATGTTTGATGGAATTCCTCACCATCCAAGTCAATCACGACGTAGGGTATTATTGCCAGTGAACACCTGTCAGGTTGATGTTACATTTGCCACTCTATTCTATACTGATCCAAGGAAAGATGCCCCTGTTTGGGGGTAAGAAATGTTGAAGTGATTAACCACCTTTTGCCAAATCATTGATGTAAATTTGCAAGAAAAGGAAATATGGCTAGTGGTCTCCTCTTCACCTTTGCACAAAAGGCACATGGAGGGGATCTTCAATCCCTTCAGGTTGAGTATATCATCAGTTGAAAGTAGCTGTTAACCTCATTTTTAGTGAGGTATAATCTTTCTCTTAGGATTCAGGATCTAGCTTTAGGGACCTCCCTTCGACTATCTTAGAACCTTAGAAATGGAACCCGCCTTGTTCTAGAAATTCAACCCGCTTCCGTCCCCTTCTGGAGTTTCGCGTGTGTGGTATCAACTTCTAGCACTTAGAAGGATGAAAACCTACATGAGGAAACCCAAAAGGGATTCCCTATAGGACCTTCCTGAGCCTTAGGGTGGCCTTTTGCACAATTCGCACTCCCGCGCACAAAACTTCGCAATTCGGAGAGTCGACACATCTGATAGCCACAATTCGCTTCGTTTGCATTGTTACTTGTCGAATGCTCGAGTTAACCTTTTGAAGCGATCGATCGCAGGTCGAAATTTTGTGAAATTTGAATTTTGACGCGTTTTGACCCGATTGTCGACGACGTCGTCCGAGCAACCTCAGATGACAAAATGGACTGCACCGGAGCGTCCGGAACGTCGATTTTACCCGGGGAGGACACCCTTTTTGTTACGTCGCCGCACGCGAGTAAATCGGGTTTTATTTAATATATATATATATATATATATATATATATATAAATTATCTTTTTTTTAACCACCCCCCCCTT